GGTCTCTCCCATTAGACTATTGAGCACCATGAGGGAAGGGGCTTTGTCTAACTCATACTCTATTCCCAGCACTTAGAACAGTGCCTGGTACCTAGCAGGTGCTCCATAAATACCTCTTGAATGAATGACTAAGGATTAAATGAATTGCTTTTCTGTCTTTATGGCTTTAAGGCCCTGTGAGGCCTGCTTGCCCTCCTAACCTCCAGCTACCTGCTCAGTGCACAGACCTCCTTCCACCGGGAACAAGCCCAAGCTGATAGCAGTAATCACTGCCAATGGTTTTCAATGCTTAATGCAGCCCTTTGTATACATTATTTCATTAAACCTTGAAACAACCTAAGAGGTGGGTGCCATTGTGATCTATAGTCTACAAGAGAGGAAACTGAGACACAGAGAGATTATCTGGCTTTTCAGGGTCACATATAGGAAGTCATTGGGTCAGGAGTTGAGCTGAGGACATTTGAATCCAGAATTCATGCTCTTCACCATTACGCCAACAATAAAGCTTTCCAGAGGGAAGAGCCTGACTTTCACACCAATGGTCACTAACTCATTTTAGGACTTTTCTTGATTGCAGTTCCTTGTCAGGAGGGAGAGGGAGCAAGGCTAGGGCCTAGGCATAGAGGGAGTAATGGAGAGATGGCCCCAAAGCCAGATTTGCTTCCCTCCCCATTTAGGGGTCCCCAGATCCTGACAGTCTGGAAGTGATCCCAGGACAGATCATCTCCCACTAATTGGGTTAGTAAACCATGTTTATCCAGGCAAAGCTGGTGCTCAGTGAGTTCAAGATTATGGAAAGCAGGATATGGCTTACCGCTCTGATGCCCACAGGGTCAGAGGAGACAGAGTTAGCACTTTAATTGGCTTAACAGCCCTGAGTGGTTTAACAGCTCAAAGGGTTGGGGTGTGTGTGAAGACGCAGGTGGGTAACCAGCCCACAGACAGCCTCATGCCCCACTGAAGGATCTATTTCCTCTTTGCCCAGAGATTTAATCTGCCTCTGCATGGGGACATTGCTCTGGGTTTTTTCCAACACAGTGCAGAGATGGAGTTTGGGCTCAGGAGTTGGACAAAGGTGTGATGGCACCTTATCTCTCCCCTACTTCCTCAATTGGTCACCTTGGACAAGTTTTTCCTTATATGACAAATGAATATATCAATACTCACCACAGGGAAGATTCATGAGTCTGCTAGGATGTGGTGGTGGTATATTCCTTTCCCTCTTCTCCTCTTCAGAGTCTCATTTTATGTTTAAAATCATAATAACAACACTCATCTCATAGAGTTGTTTGGGGATGAAGTAAAATCCTGTGTGAAAGGACCTTATCCACTGTGAAGAGCCAGACCAGAGATTTCAAAGAGGACAGTTCACAGATGAGGTTCCTTTAGTTGACACCATTTTAAAAAATCTTATTTAGTAGTTGAAAACTGGGAGAGTTCACACAAGAATTGCAGTCTCCCATTTGTCTTGAAAAACCAAGATGTGCTATTACTAGATTCACAATTTCTCATAGCACCATCAGCTGGAGCTGGGAAGTAGATGTCCTTTCTCCAGGACACTACTTCTCCTATCAAGTCCTCCTGCTTGACACTTCATGTACTCTATGATCTGTGTTACCTGCCTGGTTCCTCAAAGTGTTTGAGCTTTTGACTCAGCACTGTACAAGTGTGAGGAGCTGCAAGTTATCTTTGATCAAAATCACTATTCCAGAATCAGGAATGTGAGATCAGGAGGTGAACAACTGGCCAGTCTCCCAGTTTTGATGCTGAAGGACTCAGACAAACATCTCCTTCCTCATCATCCCGGGCCCTGCTGCTCAGAACATCTGCATCAAATCCTGCTCAACAGTGAACCTGTTCAATGTGAGAACATTTCACGTGGTAAGCAAACATGTTGTGACGATATTGCTTAATTTCTAGGAATCCCAGCCCCAGCAGCTTCTCTATACTTTCTCTGGATTCCTATCCCTCCCCTATCCCCTGCCCCCATTTAGCCAGACTCTCAGCCATCTTAGAATCCAAAGCCAAATAGCTTTTGGGACAGGGGCCCAGAGGAAGTGTGCAAGGCTTTAGCTCTGGTAACTAGACTCAGTTAGAACTCCAGAAAAAGGCAGGCTCTTAAGGCTATTAAGTCTAATCATCTCATTTCACACACAAGGAAACTGAGGCCCAGAGATGAGAAAAGCCTTGCTCAAGGTCAACTAGCAAGCTAGTTACAAACCAGGATGAAGATGTTGGTATCCTGACCCTACCTCCAAAACCCAAACCCACTGATAGTGAGTCAATTCTGACTCAAAGTGACCCTATAGGACAGAGTAGAACTGCTCCATAGGGTTTCTAAGCCTGTATATCTTGACAGAAGCAGGCTGTCTCACCTTTCTTCTGCAGAGTGGCTGGTGGGTTCAAACCAATGACCTTTCGGTTAGCAGCTCAATGCTTTATCCACTACACCACCAGAGCTCCTTGACCTTACCTCACACACTCCCAATCCCTCACTTTTCCCACAATCCACACTGTCGCCCATCCTTACCCAAGAACATGGCTCAACTCCCTCCCCCTCTTTGCACATTCTTATCTCAGTGCAGCAGAAGCTCTGGCTTTCTATCATGCAGGAATCTTGGGATCTCAGGCTCATAATTCTTCAAGCTTGGGGGATACTTTAGCGGCAGAAGTGCAGCGTGGATAAACTGTCCTTGGGTTTTGAAGGCAGAGTGTTCAGTCCCAACTCTTCCACTCCCTAGCTGTGTGACCTTGGCAAGGATGCCCAACCTCCGAGCCTCATTCCCTCATTTGTTAAATAGGAATTACGATGTTAGCCTTATCACAGGATTATTAGGAGAGATACAGAAGATAAAGTAGGTAAAAAGGCAAACAGTAGGATTGGTGAATTGTGAATGCTTAATAAATTAATGGTAATAGAATTATAAATTAAGGATCTCATACTTAAATGCAAGTAAAATGGGCCAGATGTGAGCAAAGGGAAGAGTGGGAACTGGACAAACCAGAGCACATGTACCCTGTCTAAATTGTTATAACCTGATTCTGCTAGATCCATTTTTTTTCTTTTAAAGAAGCTAGGACTTTGGGTTTTTAAAATACTATACAAGCCAAACAAACCACTTCTGTAGGCCAGAATCAGCCCAAAGGTCATTAGTTTGTTATCCTTGCAAAATCCCATCACCCCAACTCCCCCACTTTCCACAGGAGAGAGTGGAAACAGCTAGTCTTTCTCTCTAAGAAACGTGGAATGCAGTGGACCCACCTCTGGCCACTCCCCTGTGACCTCCAGCACCACAGTCATTACTTTCCATATGTGAGAGAAACTCAGTTTAAATTCAGGAAAGGAGAGAAGAAGCAGTTCCCTATTAAGTGGATTCTGAACAAGGAGAGGAAGTGGGACCCAAGATAGCCTGCAAGTCAAGGGGCAGTCGGCTCACTTTAGGCCGAAAAGAAAGGATGATGAAGCTTTGGCTACCAAGAATAGGAAGTTACCATTTCAGAATCTAAAAATATCTTTCGCCATCTGTCCACTTGGGCACAGAATAATAAATGCAGATTAGTTCCTGGATGTAGACATGCATATTTTTGTGTGTCAAGCTAATAATAATACCACCACCTTGCGTGGAGAGAGCTCCACTTTCCCCTCCCCCCCCCAGGGCAAGCTCAGTGGAATATACACCATCTTGGCAGGCATGGATGGGGAAACCAAGGCAGAGAGAGATTCAGCAACATAACAAGGGTGACACAGCAAGTAAGCAGCTGGGACAAACCCTGGGAGTCCTGTTCCCAACCCTCAGCCCAGTACTGAATCTTCTGAGCTAGTCAGAATGCATTAACAAGTAGCAGAATAAATATAACAACACTGATAATCACCCAATTACATCTCCAGAGTGACTTTTCCCATGCTCTCCCCACATTTGTGACAACCGTGATAATTCATTACATTCCTAAAGTATGTTGCAGTCTGTAGGGCCCTCACACAGACCCTCTGTCACCTGACCAAGTAAGAAACAATGTGAAGGTAGACCACCGAGAGGAGAAGAGTAGGGACTTCTCCCCCATTTCACAGGTGAGGGAACTGAATTTGGAGTGAGAAGGGGATGTTCCCCAGATCCAACAGTAAGCAAGTTCATTCTGTCATGAAATTTTTTGTCAGTAGACAGTTGCCCTAAGCTACTGTAACAGTTCTGATTTGAGGGGAGCCCTAGACCTAGAGCTCCCCTGCTCTCCAGAATTCACCTAGCACAGCAGGCATCCTCAGTGCCAGCAAGAGGAAGAAGCCTAGAAGTGGCCAGTTTGAACAAAGCCTCAGTTTTGCCTTGCTGTCCTGGGATTAGAAGACAGCCAGTGACCATCTATTCTCAGACTCAAGATCCCAAATCCCTTTGGCCCTGTAGGGGACAGGAGGGAGCAGCAGTGCTGGGGGGTGGGGGTCCTAGGAAGCAGAAAGAGCTAGAGAACTTCCCAGCTGAGTTGAGCACACTCTTTCCCAAAAAGTCCAAGAAGTTTGGGTGGGATGTTCATTTACCTGCCTCAAATATTCTCTCTCTCTTGGGAGGTTGGAAATGGGCTGTGATTCTGAACTGAGAGGAGGGAAGGACTTCTAACTCGGATGTTTCCCAAGCCGAGGATCAGAGGTCAGGGAGGAAGGGGTGGGTAAGGCCTGGAGGGGTCCTGTGGCTCCGCTTCAAGCTTCACACTCAGCCCCATCAGCCCCAGGGCCCCCTCACTCACACACCACTCACTGCTTCCCTCCCTCCTGGCCCCTAGCTCTCCTCCTCCCGCCCACTCCTCAGTGGCCAGATCAGAGGATGCCATTGGGGCTGGTCAGGGGTGGAGGCAGAGGTTAAGGAGAAGAAACCAGAGTTGCAATAGGGTGGGGCGTGGCGAAGGTCAGGACAGGAGGGGTCTTGGAGTAGTCGAAGCCGGCTTGGGGCGTTAGACAGCCCTTGGACACCCCCACTCCTCGGCTCTGCTCCCTCCACCTACGTCTTTCCTACCTCCAGACCTGGCCCAGCTGCAGGAGGTGGACGACGGTCTGCAGCAGCCAGACGCAGAGGCGGCAGCAGCGGCGGCGGAAGGAGCTGGCCGAGGAGGGCGCGGGCTGGGGGCCCACCTCGGGGCTGCCTTCTTTGGTCCGGAAGGCGCCGGAGCTGTCCTTGGTGCTGAAGACAGACCCACCGACACTGCTGTCCTTGGTGCTGACAACGGGTCCCGGGGCCCCCTCTGGCTCCGTGTAGTCGTAGACGAACCAGCGGAAGCTGAGCAGTTGCACGACCAGCGAGGGCAGCAGCACGAACAGCAGCGTGAGGCCGAAGTAGGTGCGCTGGCCCTGTATGTAGTAGGAGGCCGCCAGCCACAGGTCCGTGGCGCCGTCGGAGAAGAACACGAGCAGCGCGCACAGCACCCAGCAGCAGTCCCGCAGCTCGTAGCGCGGCCCCGGGCTTCCCGCCGCGGTGCCCCCGGGGCCCACGGCCACCGCCGCCGCCTCCCCGCGCCCGCCGCCACCACCCCGGGCTCCTCCGGCCGCCCCCTCCGGCCCCGGGCCGGCCGCGGCCGCCACTCCATTCGACTTCGCGGCCATGTTGGCGGAGCAGGAGGCGGGGAGCGACTTCCGGGCGGCGGAGGGGGGTGGCGGGGTGGGAAGGACCCTTTGCAGGCGGCTCCTGCCTCCTCCTCCTCTTCCTCCTTCTCCTCCTCTTCCTCCTCCCCTCTACTTCAATTATTCATTCCCCTCGGCGCCGCCCCCGCCCCTCCCGCGCCCCTCCCGGAGTGTGACCGGATGGGAGCAGCCCCCCTGGGAAGCGAGAGGAGGCGAGGAGGGGAGGGACGGGGAGAGCAGCCTAGGTCACCCTCTCCCTCCTAGAGGCGTGGGGCCCCAGCCACAAGCTTTCTGTCTCTCTCCCCACCTCTTCTTCACCACCCCCTCCTCTTACTTCTCTCTTCCTTTTATCTCCCCCGTTTACCTCTGGTGGTCTAGGTCTAAGGGAGGTGTGGGACCAGGCACTTGGAATTAAGGGGTCCAGGGGTTGTCTGCTTCCTAATTTCCCAAGAGCTCCCACATTATTCCGTCCCCTCCTTTGATCTTGAGACGTCCCTTTTCTTATTGTCTTCGTTTTAAAGCTGAGGAAACTGCGGCTCTGAGAGGTGTCCTTACTGCCCCACTCTCCCCTTTCTCTCCCTCCGGCCTTGCCCGCTGCCGACCACAGCCCCAGTGCAGGGCAGGGAGGGAAGCGGGCAACATCGGAGGGTAACCAGTGGGAGGCAAACCCTGGTTGAGGAAATAGCAAGTGCAAAGCTGTGGGGGCCTGAGACTTGTGGGTAGGATTTCAGGGAAGTCTGGTTCACAATGGGCTGGGAGGTGGGAAACAGTTGGGAAAGGTGAGGCTGGAGAGTTTTGGAGGGATGACTCTTAAAGGCTTTTTGCTGGAGGTGCGGGGAGGGAGCCACTGCGGGCCTGAGCAGGGGAGTGATGTGGTCAGGTCATGATTTGGAGAGAAGACCCTGAACCCAGAGTAGAGAAATCACTGAAGGTAGATGAGGGGACCAGAGGAAGATGATAACAATGATCTAGGAGCGAGGGTGGGGTCCCTCACACAGCCTGGGTAAACCAAGCTCATCCAACCTCCTCTCTTTCCTAATACTGGACCTACTAGCCAGCCTCCCGGGGCAGGGCATTTATTTTACACTCACCTACTGTCTCTCTGTGTCCTACATTGTTCTAAGCATTTTACAATGAACTCACTTTATCCTCACGACAATTTGTGAGATAATTTACTTTTTTTTTTTTTTTCTCTCACATTTTACAGATGAGGAAACAGAATCACAGACAAGTTCATGAAACTGTTCGGGGTCGCACAGTTAGTGCTGGAACCAAATGCAAGCCCATCATCTGGCTCCAGAGTATGCTTTGCTACCTCCTGAGGAGGGGAGGGGAGGAGACGGTGTGTGTGGGGGGTGGGCAGACCACCCTGCCTGGAGTAGCGAGAAAGGGAAGATGAAGGGAGACAGCTGCCCTGGGTCGGGAACTGGCAGCCATCTGCAGCCCAGCAACCTCTTTCCTGTCCAGAGATTGTTTTGGCCCCAACGATGCTCAGGAGATTGAGGCACCAGCTGTTGCCCAAGCGTAAGAACAAAGGAAGAGTTAGGAATTTCAGGGAGTTTTGCAGGCTGAATTCAAGGCTGACAGTCCACAGGCATATGTGGACTCACTCAAAATCTCACTGCCATCAAGTTGATTCCAACCCATAGTGACCCCCATTGGGTTTCTAGGGCGGTAAATCTTTACAGAAGTAGATTGCCCCATCTTCCTTCTACAGAGCAGCTGGTAGCTTTGAACCGCCAAGCTTCTGGTTAGCAGTCAGATGCCTTAGATGCTGCAGCACCAGAGCTCCTTATATGTGGACTAGTGGGAGTTTTTGTGGGATGAAGTGGAAGGGGGATCTGGACCCTAACATGGTTTCGGAAGGCACAACATCTCTGCTTTTTCTTTCTCTCCTGAAAGCTAGGGAAACCCATGGAGTGCACAGAGCTCTGGGCCAGGGAGAAGCTACGCTCTTAGGGCTCTGGGCCAGTTCTCATATGTGTCTGGACTTCTGCCTTTTCACAGGTGCCGGGGTGGGACCTGGCAGAGATAAGTGCCTACCTCTGGGCTCCACCCTCCTCAAGGCAGCCCTTTTACCACTCATGCATCTCTACATCCCACCCTGTTTAATGGACATTAGAAGACAGGCACTTATGTCTGAGACTTTGGAGCCAAGAACTGGCTACATGAACTTGAGTAAGTTGCTCAATTTCTCTTTAGATAAAAGTGAGATAGGGGACAGCCAGTGCCTTCCTCTCAGGGCTGTGGTGAGGATAATTAATGCTAATTATTAGCTGGGTGAAGCCCTCCCGGATTGTCCACCAGCTGTGCCTTGCTCTCCACCCCTCGGATAAGTCCTCTGACACTCCCTGTCATGAGCTTGCATGACACCTTTAGTCTTTTTCTTCTTGTCATCCATACAATGGCAATTTAGTTCTTATGTCTGCCTGTCTGGAATAGGCTGGAAACCCCACGAGGGTAGGGACAATTTATCTGTTTCCCCCCACACACACACCAAATCCCCAGTGCCCAGCACAGTGCCTGGTACTTAGATATTTTATAAAAATTCTTTAATGAATGAATGATCAACCTACACAATAGATTTCATTATTCTCCCCATATATAACAAACAAGGTAACTGATTTAGACAAGAGCAGTGACTTATGGAAATGTCAAGCCCTTCTGTATAGCACCAGTGGCAGTGCTAAGTACTTTACTGATATGCAACATGTTATCCTCAAACAAGTCATTTTTTAGCTGAGTTAACTGAGACTTAAGGAAGTGCTGTCATTTGCCCAAGACCATTAGTTAGGAAGCAGCAGAGTTGGTATTCAAACCTAGTCTTCCATGCTAGAATTCAAGCAAGTAGGAAAGGTGACAGAAAGGAAGGATTTGACAGGGGGTCAGAAGTGTGGTTTGGGGTGACCCACTTGGGGATGCTGTAAAGGAGACTTTTCCCTGAGTTCAGACTGGTGTATTCTGAGTGACCTGCGAGTTCAGAGCTTCAGACAAGGCCCAGCAGGGAATAACGGGGGTTTTCCAGTGGGGAGGAGCAGTTTGGACAAAGGCCCCATGATGACATGAGGCAGACATGTTCCACAAGTAAGGAGAAGCTGAGCCTGGCTAGTGGAGGGAGAAGGAGAACACAGCTGGTCAGAACTGAACAGGCCTTTTGAGACCCATTCAGTTCCCTGAACTCCTATCCCATTTGACAGAAAGGTACACTGGGGCCCAGAGAGAAGTCCCATAACCAGCAAGTGGCAGAAGCAAATCTACGAGATGGCCCTTGCCCTAGTCCCCAAGGCTTTGGTGTCCGGGCTTTGCTGGGAATCACCTTTAGGAACAGTCATTATCACACGACCTCAAATACCCTGGAATTCCTTCCTCATTGACCTTTCTTTCCCCTAAAGGAAGACAATAAGAAAAATGACCTCTCAAGATCAAAAGAGGGGATGGAATAATATCCTGGGGTCACCCAGATATCCTGCTGAGGGCCCAGCCCATGTGTATTACACCCTTTGCTCAGACCAGTTCCTGGTAATATCCCTTTACCTCCTACTGAATATTTGCACCTGTGAAAACTATGCACAAGATAATTGATAAAGCATTGCTCTTAATAGCAAAATATTAGGTGGGGACCCAGATGTCCGTCAGCAGGGGACAGGCTAAATAAATCATGGAACTTCCTGGCAATGGACTAGCATGTAACAGTAAAAGAGACAATGAGGTTCTCTATGTCCTAATACAGAAAGGCCTCCTTGGGAAAAAAGTGAGGGACAGAGCAAGAGTGAAAAGAGGGGAGAGGAGTGATATTCGTTTGTAGATGCATAAAGATACTGGAAGTGTGCAAAAGAAAATTAGAGGAGGTTGCTGAAAGGAACAGTAGGCAGAGGGGGACAAGGATGGGAGGGAGACTTCATTACATACCTATTTGTAACTTTTGGAATCCTGTGAATATATTTACATACTAATACAATAAAATAATCATCGGGCAGCTGTTACTCAGATCCAGCTGAATGTGGTCATGTAGGAATCAGGGACCAGTAATGGCCAGATTTTCTCATTTTTAAGGCAAAGTCAGAAATACAGATTTTAATGTAGAATTTCATGATTTTTAAGTACTGGCTTCAATATTTCTCAAACGCTTTTTCCGGCAAGTAAGTAGGTCAGTGGGTCAGACACAGCCTGAGGGCCACCAGTTTTCAGCCTCAGCCTTGGTAGTAGCTTGCTGGTCCCTGGGCTAGAATTCTTAGCACCCTAGGTCCTGGTCCGCACCTGTGCAGGTGCAAAGAAAGAGAACTGTATTGCCTCATCCCTCTCCTGATACCCTCAAACCCCTGTACCTTGGGGCTCTGACATTTGGGGCTTTTAACTCATGATGTGGTAGGCGGAGAGGGGTCATGAACTCTCAGCTAATTTCTTCCCCTGGGGCCCTGCTGGTGGTGCAGTGCCTAAGGCATTTGACTGGCGGTTCAAACCCACCAGCCACTCCCCAGAAGGAAGACCAGGCAATCTGCTTCCATAAAGATTTACTGCCTCAGAAACTCAGTGGGCGTCACTATGAGTTGGAATCTACTAGATGGCAATGAGCTTGGGTTTTTTGTTTATTTGTTTGGGGGCCCTGCAGGCATGGAGGCCCAGCTACCTCCCACTGCCCACCCATCTGTCCCTGGGAGGTAGGGACAGGAGTGGGGCTGGTGGGGAGGGGACAGGAGGGTGAGAAGGAATCGCTACATTGAACCTCACACTGGGCTCCGTTCGGAGCCAAAATCCAAGAGGAGAAACCTAGAGTATGTAGGAAAAGGAAAATGTGGACTTGGAAGGTATTTTAATGACTTCTTTGTTTTACAAATGAGGAAACTGAGCCCTAGGGGGGTAAGATGACTTGCTCAAAGTTACCTGAGCAGATAATGGCCAAGTGAGGACTGGCTGTCACCAAAATTAGAGTGTGCAGAGGTGATCACCAAATCACCAAATGCCAGGCCTAGAGAGGACCATAAGGGACCATCTCGTCCAACCTTCCTCATTGTATAAATGTGGCGACAAGCCACTCCACTGCCCCAGGCCAACACCCTGTCACCTTGTGCCTGGAAACTGCGCTACTTCCTCAATGGGCTTCCTGCAGCCTGTCTTTCCCTTCCTCAATTTCGACCTCCACTTTCAGCCAGAGGAGT